TCTTGGGCACTCCAGTCGTAGTAGTCTTTCTTCTCGTTATCACGCGAGCTTCTATCATTCAAGTTGCACAGGTCATTTTCCACGAATATGACATCGATCGCTCCGTTGCCACGAATAGGGCAAGTGTTGTGGGTCCAGTTTGCCTGCACCCTTGTTATCTCATCAAACCTTCGCCTTCCTCATTATAGCGAATGAGCCCAATATCGATTACTGTGCTGCTAAGAGTGTGTGTATTCGTACAGAATTTAAGACTTAAATTTTAAGTGCAGGTAGTGCGCCTATTGTTATTGTCCTAGGGTCGTAGTATTGGTTGTTCTTAGAGTTCATCAACCGATACCCCGACACAAGCGCCTAACGCAGCGTGAGTGACGCTTACTACACGTGCATTACTGACAGTTAGTACCGTCGTGGGATTACTGACAGCCTGTCAGTGACAGGTATCGGCTCATGGTGTTGATAGTTGGGTCCGACTCGGAATCATATATCTCAAACAATGACGCTTTTAATACTGACTACGCTACTGTGTTCAGCGTGAGTCGCTTTGGAGCAAATCCGCAAGTACAGGGTGTCGAGTCGACACTGTCGACTTGAAATGGCTCTGCCGCCATAACTTCTCATAGCCAAGGATCTATGAGACCTATCATTGGGAACCCTTCTCGAGGTCTACATAAAATGTGTCTCCAACGGTTTCATTCACTGGCTCTATAACTTAGGAGGCCTTCTTTAAGGAAGGATCGTAAGATCCTCGATGAAAGAGCGCCTCCTTATAACTTAAAAGGCAGAATATTCCTCAAAGTAAGGAGGCTGAGGAACAGTTCGTAAGTTACTCAAGGAAGGAGGCTGAGGAGCTGCACCTAATAATACTCAGGAGCCGCTCCTCAAGGTCCCTAAGGAAATAGCCTTAGGAGCGTAAGCTTGGTCAGGCTAAGCTTACCCCTGGCTCATGAGGTCGAGACCGAGAATTTCGGCGTGCAGCGCATGCTTCGCGCACCCTTCATGGAATTCGCCGGTGCGAGTGGTCGATGAGTTATCGGAGACTAAGCGCCGCCTGCGCGATCTCCCGTCTCCACAGTATCTTCCGGCGCTTGGGACCTGGGTGATTACCTCACTTAGCGAGGCTCGCTGAATGGCCGTAGTCTGTGAGGGATTTCGTTGTCATTATTGGCATAGTCACGCACTGTGTGTCACACAGGAGGGCGAACATGCCCTGTTATGATTTCAAACGCAACATTCGCTAGATAGACGGCCTCTGTGCCACCAATAACAGTATTGCTTTTTGCAAAGGAGTCCAGACCTCCCAAGACCGCGACCAAATATCACGAGATGGATCGAAAGCGGATAATCAATATTCGATAATATTACGACGTTAAGACTGCCATTGTAAGGGGCAACGACTCTCGGCGACTAATAATGGATTGTACACCGGCCTAGTAGAAATCACTCGTCGTATAGATCGACGAATGTAAGCCCTACAATCCATTAGCGCCATCACGCCCCATGAGATGTCACAACAAAGAATAATGATTCGACACAAGCTCTCTAGACACGAGACAGAGATATATCTTCTACGCGACGAAATCTGATCACGCCTAAGTGATAGGATTACTCTCTTCCTCAATAGTGAGCTTAGGATCCTCAGATTTGACCTCTACTTCCCCTGTGGAACCGCGTCTGCTTCGCATCCACCTCTCGAATAGTGAACCAGAAGTAGCCGAGGTATCATCACCGTCGGCCATGATACGTTCGTTCATCCTGGCATTAGGTATCAACCAGAGAAAGAAGAGCGACGTGGCACTCAAGCTTATCAGTATCAA